CCTCGCGTTTGCAGCTGTTTATCACAACATACGTATATTATTATGGATTTATATGTTCGATTTTTTTAATATATACATTGTTTAAAGAGAAGGGCTATATAATATATTATAATATCCAACAAATAGTGAAGACATTTAGCATCAGCATTGCAATCGTGCGAAGTCGTAGTAAACTAAAGAATAAATAAATAAATATAATATAATATAAATTGGATCTATGTCATGTGTATCCGATAAAAAAGTTACATTATAAATCTCACTTGAAAACAGGATAATAATTATACGTATACAAATCCCCGTCTATATATATTAACCTTACCAATATGTAAGGTATAGTTATATATACAGGGTTACCACGTCATTCATTCAGGTACACATTAAAATTAGACAAGCGGTAGCGACCCTACCTTCTACGATGAAATGTGGTTACAGCGTAGGTGACTAAAATGGTCACACAAGGACAAATGTCGTGGTGACCCGGAGGTTAAGGAGCCCGCTTCTCATGCATGAGGACGATGCATGATGAACCTGGCAAGTACCAATGTGACTTTTTCCGAGTTATATGGACTTTCTATGATTATTTAGACACCACTGACATACGGTGAAGGTAAACATCGTGAGGAAACCTGGACTTATAATTTCTAATTACAAGTTTGAAATCGCCAACCAGCATTTAGCAAGCGTGGTGATTAACTTATAGGCTGATGATGATGATGATGATGAAGGACAATCAAATGCGCGAACATATTAATCTGCTTCTAAATTCTACAATAGGTATAATGTATTTGGTTTTAAATGTATTTTACTTGTACATCAGTGTCAAACAATTTGATTTTTTTTTCTTTTTAAAAAACATTGCCCCACGTTGGCATTTTTCTATGTGTCGTGTGTGTCTTAATAGACATCTAATCTTATATACATATATATATATACATATATTGACTAAGTACTACTTATATTTACAGTAATCAGCATCGCTCCATTAATGATAAAAGAACAAACAATATTTAAATACAACCGTAACACCTAAGTAATAGAATATTAATTTTATAAACAACAATTTCATATACGAATACATATCTCTTTCTCTCTCTCTCCTTCCGAGTGATGTAAAAAACAACACGCAAGATTTAGTAAGCAAAAGTACTCCATGAAAAAGAAAACATTTAGTACTTTACATTACTAAAACCTGAATGTGCAATTCTTCTTGTTTCTTTTATCTTCTTTCTTCTCTTCTTTTCTCTTCTCTCTTCTCACACACTATTCTCTTTTCATAACTTAATATTTGAACATTAATATTTAACCGCTAACTGTTAAAAAAATAATTTTTCAACGTTATCAACATCGAAATAATCAGTTGTTAAATATGGCAACACAGTGTTTGTTTACTATATGTACATACAGACGCAGATATAGACGCACGCATCAACCTTGATAAATGTCTTTGACAACTTTCTCTCAATTTTCCATAACCGAAAGAGCCATGCTGCAGCGCGAATGGGTAAAAGTAATAGAGGTAACAATACAGTTCCATAAATAAATCGGCGTGACATAAAGCTTGCGTTTTTTCAGTGTTCCCTCCCATCCTGAACACAATTCCAATCCTCAAATGCTCAAATTCCTAGGCTCCAAGAGACTGGCAACGGACTCGTAACTCGTCTGATGGACGGCGCCGATTGCTTACCATCAGAAAGCCCGGTCTTTATGCAAGAACTATCACTGTAACGCTCATTTGCCACACTGTCCCATCCCGAATAATAAGTTAGTTAACTTCAGATACAGTATTCACAAGCACTTACAGAAATTTTGTAGGTAGTAGGTAGGTAGGTAGGTAGGTAAGTAGGACAAATCGGTGTTTTCTACCACTTTACTTAGTTAAGCCCCACATTGCGTGCCAGACAGGCAATCTCTCTTTACTGATGGACAGATAAACTGCCAGACACCAGATAGTCTGGCATATTCTCCATTTGTAATTAGTTCCGTGCGTGTAGACTTTGTGGTGGCCACACAAGTGCATGCCTAGCCTATTAAATGGATTCACCGCGGCCTCGGGCCGGAGCAGGAAAAGGGACGGAGGGATTCTTGGTTAGTAAGAGTCTGACATTCTCTCTCGCCTTACCCTGGGCGAGAGAAGTCATTTGATGATTTTCCTCAAGGCTAATTAAATGGATAGTCATTTTTAATTAACGGTTTTTTGTCCTAACCGGTAGATGGAGTGAATTAGTATATACAAAGTATTAACACTAAAAAATGCTTACCTAAAAGCACAATTTTAAAAGCAAAGGGGTCACCTTTTCCGCTTTGTACACAATCAAGTCTAATTTTGGTTTAGTTTCTCTTTTGATAATAAACAATTGTCTAAAAATTTACTCTACTAAAACTGTCATCTGTGGAGATTGCGGTTCATTTCATATTTGTGTTACATATTTTTACACTTTTACTATGGAATTTTTGTTTTGCGTAGTCAATTAAATTAAATACTATATTCACAAACAATAAAACCGCTTTTAGCTATAAATAAAAGAAAGCTAATTTGGAACCAAATCAAAACACACTCCACTCAGTAAACTCATCATGATCAAAGTCATAAAAATCATTTTACGACTTTTGAATTGTCATAAAATATGATTTGATGACTTGGCACTCAAACAGTGTATTTTCTAATTTCTATTAATTGATCACTAGGTTATGAAAAATGTCAGTGCAGTTAATATTGCACACGAAAAATAAGCACGATTCTAATTGCATCGATAAAGCCGATGAATCGAATCCAATCGATACGCATTCGATTTTAATCGAGTCGACTTATTTTAAATCGGAAAATAATGTAACGATATTTTAGAGTCCCATAATAATTTCAACACCATCACATATTCAGAGTAACGACTTACGTGAAATAACTAAGATAAGCTTTACTAAAGCCCGCGCCAAACTTTGTGACCGCCCTGAATATAGTCGCGAGTCCGAACTTGCGCATGGTACAGTCGAGTGGGCAATACGTAATCAAACAATTTTCGTTTTCTAACATTTTTAATACTGGTTGATTACGTATGTACTAGTGATGTGCCGGATCGCTAAAAATGAAGATCCGCGGATACGGATCTGAATACGGATATTTAGTGTCAAGATCCGCGGATACGGATACGGATACGGATCTTCAATTTCTCATAAGATTAGTGTCGCCGGCCGCGCGCGGCCTTGAAAAGATAGTTGACGTCTCGCTCGCCGCAACGTCAGACACGACGTGTTTTGACTAGCATTGCGCGGGTGTGGTGTCATTCATTTAATTATAGAAAACAATAATTATGTTTTAGTTATTTCACTGTCCTAAAAGTAAAGTTTTAACTTGTTCTCATTATAAAAATCTATGTATCTAAATGTTTGTAATATATAGGTGCAAAATATATGATTATTTAAAAAAACTAGCTGGATTTTTTTTTATTTCTACCTGATGATTAACTGAAAAAGCTCCGTAAAAGATCCGCGTGTAAAATAACGGATACGGATACGGATTTTTATTTTTCCTCGGATATCCGCGGATACAGATACGGATACGGATATTCGGAACATCACTAGTATGTACTAATATTGGTTGATTACGTATTGCTCACTCGACTGTACCATGCGCAAGTTCGGACTCGCGACTATATTCAGGGCGGCTACAAAGTTTGGCGAGAGCTGTAGTTTCAAGTCACTGCAGGATTGTTATTCTCAGTCAATTCACGTGTGTGAGTCGTTTATTTAAAATAAGTTTTGTTTCACGGTAATTCTAAAAAAGTCATAATAAATCAGCATTAAGACGTCCACTGCTGAACATAGGCCTCCATCATTAACTTCCAAACCATATATGCAGAACACTTCAGGAGCTCTAAAATATACCTTATCACTTATAGCTTCAGTGAATGCAAAGCGCTGTGTACACAATCTTGTATCATTGTTTAAAACCAATCAGTGGAACATTTCAGATAGTTTGTTTATGTTGTATGGCTTACTCACGTAACTGTTAATACTCGACTAGTTTCAAGCCATGCCGAGGCCTTTAACCATGAGCCGCATACGCGACAATTGACGCAGCAAGCGTAACGCAGCGAATGTAGGCCATACAACTTTTAATTTAACATTTGTCACGATTATTTATATTGAAGATCACAGAATCAAGATACGTTTCATCGACGTACTCAGAGATGTTTACTTATACAGTCATTAACAATTGTTTTCGGAACAAAATCATTACTAAGGAATAGTTTAAGTAATCATTAAACGACTTTAAGTACGGCAGTAAAAATTTCCCTGTCTTATGTGAGTGTAAGCGGCTCAAATTATGGAAATATGGCTTTTTTTATATTGATTGTTGTAGGTGGAACTATGTTGCGTGGTGTGGCTTTGCTCACGTAAGGCAGTTGTTATGAGATTTTACTTTCGATAATTGACGATGTTTTGTACTTTATTTAATATAATATTCGGCTATTTAGTTCAGGCTTTTGATAAGGAATCGTAAGGAATCAGGTATGGAAAAGTTTAAAGGATACAGAATTTAGTTTGGGCAGTTTTAAAGCATGTATGAATAAATTTACTCAGGAATTTTATTGTTAATTTGTGCTTTGAATATTACTGTTTCCATTACTGTTTTTCAATAAATGCTTTGGTTTAAATCAATATAAGTAATTTATATTAGCATGTCGTTTTGGTATTTTCGTGTTTGACAGTCACGAATAGGGATATTTTGTTTTACATTCGGGTAGCTGAATAGTTGCATTAAAAACTCTAACGAATACTCTAAATTATTCATAATATGGATATTCTTAGTTACCACTTTTGGGCCTTAAATTGATTTTTCAAAAATGATTATTTTGAAGGAAAACATAGGGGAAAATAAAAATAGGAAAATTAAGCAAAATTTCATCTTCATAATCTTATTTCACTTACATCGTCAAGTACCAAAAAGGTCAGACTTAGCATAAATGTTAGTGTAGGCAAAGCTGCGTGCATACCTAACTCACCGTCATGCATGGGATCGATGGTGTGTATCATGAGCTGCAGCAGACCGTGACGGAACTTGGCGGCGGGCGGCGGGCCCTTGCTGGGTCCCGCTGACGTCGCCGCTGCGGTTGCCGTGTTCGTCCCCACCGATGTTTCACTTGAGGTCGTCGCGTTGCCATGCTGAAACAATGAAACAATGAATTTATTTTTGCAAATAGGCCATAAAACGGCACTTTTACACGTCAATTTATATGTGAAAAACTAGATGAAGCCGGCTGCTGTAAAGGAAAATAATTCTTTAAATGACATATTTAGATATTATAGAATTGATTATTATGTATTGAGTTGAGTGTTTTAGTGTTAAGTGATGTGCTTTGTAGTGTGGCGTGAATTAGTTTTTATATTTTTTAAACATATGATCAGCAGTACCTATAAGTGTAGAAAGAAAAAATTACCCTTAAAAAAGGAGGTAAATTTTGTAAGTTTCTATGTTTGTAAGTTTATATGTAGGGGGTAATCTTTGGAACCGCTGGTCGGATTGCCAAAAATCACTGATAGATAGCTACAATGTTCCTGAGTGCTATAGGCTATAAAGCATCACGCTACGATTAAATTGAGCCGAGCAGCGGGTGAAACCGCGCGAGAGTTAGTAAGCAAATAATTGTACAAAGATATTATTATAGAAAACGTCTTTCTTAAATAATATAAGCGAGATTCATAAACTATAACATAATATTTCTTATTATAATTAAAATATAATATACTTGCGGTGCCCCGCAGTTTTACCAGGGATAGTATAAATGTAGTTTCCAAGCAGTGAAAGAATTCACAAATCGGTCAAGTAGTTGGTCTTTCTTCTTTATCATATTAAAATAGAAGTAAGTATAGATATTTCTTTTAATATTTTAGACTATACATACGAATACATGGGCACGTAAGACTAGACGATGTGATATTGTTCTTAGACCGAAGCTTAACAATGAGAGCCAAGTAATAAAACCTAATAACATAATGCACTTTATACTAGTTAGAGGGAAGTATTTGAAGCGTATTTTCAACGCCTCAAATGCAAAAGTCGAAGAGAAGTAATTAAGATACTTATATCTTCATATTATTCTCAGAAAGTGTTGATGTTACAGTAACTACAAACATCATGTGATTTTTCGAAAACGTTTTTCACATTTATGATAAATTATTTAGCTGTTGCCCACGTCATTTCCATGACGAAACCAACCAAAGGCAACATTTTTCTGTGTATTCTCACTAAAACATGGAGCAGAAGAAGAAACGGGGTATCTCTTAGCCAGTAAGAGTCTGACACTCCTCTTATTCTGAGAGAGAGAAGTGAATTACACAAATCTTTTGGCGCTTTATTCTGAGGCTGAAATAAAGTCAATGATTTAAAAATCATGAAAATCAAGCTGAAATTTCAATTTGATTGGCTAGTATATGAATGCTATATATTCCTTGAAAACTAGCCTAATTTCAAAATCAGATTAAAAGTAAAATAATCCAGTTAATTAATTTAAATGAAATACGTAGAAATACATAGACGCACTTAGTCTGAACATTAAACGGAATCGCACCTATTATTCTTGGTAGACTCCTCTAGGACCCTCGTCATGAATGGAGGTACATTGTGGAAGAAATAGAGGAGATGTTGTACCTTATTTAATTTATAAAAATAGTTGAAAATTTATTTAAAATTCTTATTATTTTTTAAATGTCTTATAGTATAGGTTTTGCTCCTATACCTATATTGTGGGAGCATTTACAAATATCAGAATTCACATACACACCAAGATCAGGAACAACAATTTGTGGATTACACAAAGAGTTATTCAGCGTAAGATTTGCAGCTGCAAGCTTTTGTGGAGCACTCATTGAATAATTACTAGTACCTAATTCAATCCAAAAACATTTTATCGTAATAAGTTTCAAAAACGTTTTTCTCGAATTATTATTCTGAGGGAGTAAATTGATTGAAACAATTCTGGTTTTTTAAGTATTTTTAAGTTCAATTTTGAAATTTTTTGTTGACAGACAACGCGTGGGCGATGCTTTTCACTGTGTAACTAAGAAATAAAAACATAAAAAATACACATAAACCCGGATAATTTATTTGTGTTAGTATCCCACAAAAAACCTTGCAGTTATCAAAATTGCGAGGGATGGAATAACAGAGCCACTTCTTTCCCCTGTACCGTGCGAGAAAATAATGTAACGTAGCAATCCAAATTTTACGGTAACATCTGAAATAAAAGACTTGTAATTAAAAATCCGTTGGTTTCAGATACAATGGCGATTGTACGCTATTTAATTGGCTCAGAAAGCAATCATGCTGGGCCCAATGTACCGATGTATCGCCAGTCGGAACCCAATATTTCAACACTTGTACAAATTGCTATATCGGTTTTAAAACAATTTGTTTTTTTCCCATTCGTTGGCAAGGATTTATTACGTGAATTGGGGAATATTTTTGTAACAATCCTGTCCTTTGCCTCTTTTTTATAGATAACATCTATTTTGGGCTTCTACACACCATTCATACCATTTCTATGAGTAAAAGATAGATAAAGTTTTTCTTTTTCTGCGTATTATCATTAAAATATGGAGCAGAAAAAGGAACGAGGTAGTTTTTAGTCAGTTTTTAGTCAATCAGTCTGACACTCCCTCTAGCCTCATCTTAAGCTAGATGAGAGAGAGAGAGAGAGAGAAATTAGATGATTTTAAAAAAGATTAAAGAATTCAAAAAGAATACAAATAAGTTTTGTACAAGTTCATGGCCCGTGTTATTATAAATTTAGGATATGATAGGACTGACATGCGCTATGCGTAAAAGCCCTTAAAACAAAATAAACGAAAAAAAAATTAACATGTAAACATAAATGTGACACAACACACATTTGTGTCATGGTGGCCTTTCAACTATCTTACTAATGTGACTTTATCCGAGTTGAATGTACCTACTTTATAAGATTTGGTATTTAGCTGCCATTGACATAGGAATGAGGATAAAGTTGCAAGGAAATCTGGACTTATGCTTTCTAAATATAAGTTTGAAATCAGCAAACCAATTTCAGCAAGCGTGATCAATACTCAAATCTTTTCAGTGTGAGAAGATAACTTTTGTCAGCAGTGGCCACTTATAAGCTAATATACAAAAAAAACATAAATGCATTGTATAATTGGATCCCTCGTAAACACACTCGCAAGTGTAGCGCTAGCATAGATTCGAGTTAGGAATAGAGTTTTAGAATGCCAATCAAGAAACTCACCGCGGATTCAGATTCGAAGTTTAGAATGAAGTCTTACAGAATCACACTGCTGCACATATTTCCGACTATTAAAACTTATTAAAAATCTAAGTTAAAGTTTTAAATAAGTAACTCACACTGCGGTAAGATACTTATCGTCGTTTTAATTCAGTAGCACTGAAGCGCAGCTCGAGTACGTCTGAGATATTTCTTCAACTTAGTTTTCAGTTAAGTTACTTGTACGATGTACTTACTCGTCGTAACTTAGCGTTGGTTGCTTAAGCTCTCGCTCGGTGTAAAGTGGTCGCGACGAGTTCAGAGGCAAAGTGATACGAAATATTTTTCAGTTTTATTTCATACTAGCGACTCGCCTCGGCTTCGCACGGAGGCTATTATACATATTATACATATAAATCTTCTTCAATGATAATTTCGTATAGTTATTACACTCTCATCACACTAATTCACCGCCTTACTAATTCACGATTAACAAGTTCAATCAAACACGTTTAAACTGCTCAGCGTCTCGTTGAGTAAAGCGCGCGAAGGTAGCCAACCGCACGAACTTTGTTGGGACAAAACCCTTTGATGTGTGGCAATTTATCGACAGCGACGCAAATAGCACTTATAATATTCCCGTATATGATTTGCGATAGAAAGAATTCTTTGGCCAGATGTATCGCGATGACGCGTTTTTTTTCTTCTCAGCATAATAAAAAAGTTAAGATATGCACTTACTAGACTTTTAAAAATCATAAACATGCCTACTCCTTACTATGCTTTGATTTTTTGAGGCTTTAGCTCTATAGACTTCGCTATCTGAGCCTAATTATGTACATCAAAAGTAAAATTAAAAACTAAATATAATAATTAATTCCTAATGCCCGGTTTCCGAAAGCCCGATTAATGTTAAAATCAACTAACTAGGTGTCAAATCTCTTGTCAAGTCATCTGATTGGTTGTTGATAATTCAGTCAACCAATCAGATGATTTGACAAGAGATTAAATTGATTTTAACATTGATCGGGCTTTCGGAAACCGGGTGTTATTCTCTCAAAAATATGTATTTTTTTAAATATAAACACATCTCTACAATGCCCTTATTCTTTACAAGCATTTGTTGTTTGTTGAGGCAAGTCCTAATCAATCTATTTCATAAGTCTGTCAAGCCTATCAATAACCAATATGGGTATTAAACCCGCGACACGTTGAAAGGTTACTCAACGACACAACAACACAAACGGTAACTCCAAGAACGCCTGTCTTGTCTCGATGGCTGGTTGCAGTTTTCCGAAGCCCAAGAATGCTATTGGTATACTTAAAAAGAAATAAGTTACCCATTGTTACTGAGCGATGTTATAGGTTTATGCTTTAAAATAATAAGTCACCATTGAAAATTATGAAAAACTTTCCCCGAGCCGAGAATATAAAGTAATGCTGAATCAAGATACGAATACTTGTTCACAGATAGTCTGTTTTGATATTCTCTGTAATCCAACTGATAATTCAATAATTTATTTAGGGTTGTCACTTATTAGTTCATTTTAGTATTTTGTTTATAATCTGTGCGTCTTTCAGTGATATAGCGTAACTTTGTGCCCTTTATGATTTTTAAATATGACCACTTTTAGTATCACCATCCAAAATCATTTTAATTCATCATGACAATCTAAAATATATTAATTGACTCGACGATATTTTTTTTTTAACATCATCCCTTTTTATCGATTTCTCTCGCTAAAGGTAAAGCGAGAGAGAGTGTCATACTCTTATTGACTAAAAACCATCCCGTTCTTCCTCCTGCTCGACGCCTAGGCCGCAGTTGCTTATTGGTTGTATTTTGCGCCATGGGTGGGGCAAGCGATGCCTTTGATGATATTGTCCCTCAAGAAACCACCTTTTTCAGAGTACCAGACAATAATAACAACAATCTCAAGGTTAGTTTTTGACAGTGTGTTGTATTGAACAGTGTAACAACCCTAGCACCCTAAGTTGGTGATCGCCGTACTCTCGATAGCCACTTAAGACCACCCTACAGGTCTAATCGCAGCATTAATAGCCCATTACTTTAGCGATAAAAATTCGTTTACGATTTTTTAATTCAATGGTCGTTCTGTTTTACTGTCCTTCGTCCTGTTTCTAGAAATTCTTGTTTGTATTGATTTTTTTTGCTATAACTAGGCTACCTTGAAAGTAGGATTAATTATTTTATTTTTTACTAGCTTCCGCACGCGGCTTGGCATGTGTATAAAATTAATGTATCCCGGTATTTTTAAAAACAGCAGCGTTTTAAGCGATAGCTTGACTAAACTACGAAAATAAAGTAGAATGTACAGCCTATAGCATCCACTGTATCTATCAGTAAAAAAATTTTGAACCCCGACCAGCGGGTCCAAATGTTACCACCTATATATAAACTTAAAGTTATTTTCTTTTTATATTTGAATAAATATTAGTGTTACACTGTTCTCACATAATTGAACCAACTGTTTGTAAAAGGAATCTGTATGTGGAACTGATTTAAAAAGAGTAACCATGGAGTTTCTTGCTCGTTCTTCTCCATCGGAATCTACACTTTGGAACGAGCAAATAGCTTCACTAAGAGGACAGACCGACAGACTGACACAATATCTTCAAAAAATTTTGTTTGACGTTCAAAAGTGCCTGTAAGGGCCCAATTGGAATAAATGATTTTTGACATTTTGACTTACAAACTTTACCTCTTTATAATATTAGTCTAGACTACGTGCAGGTATTTTATTTTTTATAGAAATACACAGAAGCCAATAATATTCCCATAATGCACCTCCATGTTTTTGCCTCTAAATATGCAGATTATCCATATATTTTTCGCGCTTGAGCTATGTGAAAACATATAAGCCATAGTAAGGACTTCTATGTTTTCACATAGTAACCAAAGATTATATGCTATATGTTTTATATGACAACTGTAACTTTACTTATATATTTAGTTTTCAAGTATTCTTAG